GTGGGTAGCGCTAGCAGATGAGCTTCTTTCACTTGCTGACTGGAGTTGCCACCTCCAAGGCACAACTGGAGCAAACCACAGCTGTGCAGTAACATCTTCAACAGGCATAACTGTTTGCAGAGTAAACATTTGCCTACAACCTTACTGTAGATAGAGAATGTTAACGAAAAGGACAGATTCTAGCAGCTTATCTGCAGCACCTTCCTCACTAGCACGTGGCTGTGGAAGGGTGCTCCATCCAGAGCAACCTCTGCACACAAAGGAGCCTGCACCACCAGCACAATCATTCACTGCTTCTCATTGCTTCAGACAGCTCAATTGAAAGAGCTTAAACTGCTACTCTGAAGAATACCTGCACTATATTGCTTTAAATACATACTGCAGTGCTTCCTCACTGATGCTGTAATAACCACAGTAAGACAGTTACAAACATCTGGATTCATGGGTCCATAACTAAACCAGAGAAAGCATCTGTCTAGGTTTTGCAGGGCATTTTTCGTTGTGTCATACACCAGATTGTGGGTTCAGTTGTCAAAACTGTACGGCACAGAATTGGCCCAATGTGTAGCTGTAATGAAAGGGACAAACACAGTCCTCTGGAAGCATGAGAATTTTACACTAAAAGAAAAGCCCTACGTGTTATCTTCCCATTGTGCTTAGTGCATGTACTTTGCAGTGTTATTTTAAAATCAGGAGTTTTAAAATGAGCCACTCATAAATTATCAATGCGCCTGCCAGCTTAGAAGAAGGCACAAACAGCAAAATCATCACTACTACCTTCTGTAGCACAGCTCAAAAAAAATCACATTAGTATCTATTAGCGTACAAGATCTGCTAATAGAGATAGTAATCTCTATTAAGAAAAATCTTCTCAGTGGCCTGATCAGGTTTAGGTTCAGATCCTCACTAGCAAGAGGACAAGACAGAGCAAGGGAGCCTTTGGGGTGATCCAAAAATCTCTCTCGATAAGAAATCCTATTTCTCAGCAGCATGAAGGAGAAAAGCTGTCTCTGACTGGGGCTATAAGACATGTGGCTTTGTCTGGCCTTTATAGGCACTTGTTTTCAGATGTCTGATCTCTAATTTAACAAAGAAAAGTGATTAAGTCCAACTGACAGACTAGACCATAAAACGTTCCAATTCTCACACTTGCATGGGAAAGACACACTATCTTATCTCACTCCTTTCTAAACCACATGAATTAACCTCTCAGTGGATACACTCATTTCAGTATTTGCTTTCATATCCTCCATAGTTTTCAGCAAACTGAATTTGTTGTAAAACTGAATGTAAACTACAAAGTACACTGGCATGGGTGTTACTAAGTTTTTTAGTATTGGATTGAACTTCAAAACTTTCTCATCAAGCTCAGTAACAATTAAATTTGGAGTAGAAAGGAGAAGGATCAAGGAAAGGCAATGAGATGCATCTTGTTGCTATTGTGGATTATCAGAGCAGCCAGAAGCAACTAATAGTAACTGCTCTAAATCATGGTACAGATGGGCACAAGGACTCCCTTGTCAGCCCTAAAAGCCAGGAAGCACCTGGAGGGTGGGAGCCCTGCTGTGCCCTGCAGCCTCCAAGATGCCCAGGTCAGCACAGCAGTCTCAGATCTAACCTCAGCTCTGGCATGCTGACCTCTGCTCTGAACAGTTTCTCACCATGAGCTGAGAACAGCCATTCCAGATATGTCAAACCTATTTAAGAGCATTTCTGCAGCACAGATTTAACATGCATTATGTGCAAAACCTTTTGCAGCATTTTTCTGAGAATGTACAATAGTGGGTTTTGGCATACTTCCGTACCTTGAAGCCTGTAAAAGCACTTGGCCATGGTTTGAAATTGAGCTGCCTAGGAGCAATAGGGCCAAGACCTTTTTAGCTGTGCTTTATGCTATTAAAAGCACAAAAGAAATTAAATACAGCACACTGCATCAAGAAGTAGAGCTTTGAGTTAAGCCAGCAAAAGCAAGAAAAAGCAGGATCGGACACCTGTGTCCTCAGCCTGCTTATGTGCCCTGGTGTTACAGCTGGACAGTAACTGACTCATTTCAAGCCCTTCTGTGAGATGGGAGAAAACACAAGGTGAAAGCAGTACTTAATTTCTTTCCTGTCATCTTTAGCAGTTTAAGATCAAATCTAATTTCATTGGTTTTGATGCTCTGTCTTGGAAATCATACCGTAACACAAAAGAATGTAGGATATTAATGTACATTAAAGTACACAGCTAACAGCATTAAGGTTTTTTTGGGGTGGTATCCTCAAGGATGCAGTTTGTGTTGTATTTGTGAGTGGTTAAACAATGTGAGTTTTCTAATGTTTCATTGCCCAATTAACCAAACAGAATCATAAAGTATACCATAGAGATAAGCAAGCAAAGAACCCTGCTTTTTTGGACACTTTTAATGTGCCTGCCATTCTGCTGCCCCAGTGCCTAAAATAGAACTTAATGTGTAGCCCAGGCCTCCTCAGCACACCCAAGAATGGGGCTCTCCTGGGGCTCAGGCATTTTTATAAAACAACAGTTAGAAGTAATAGCTGTGAGTGTGGGAAATTTCACTGCTGAGGAAACCTACACATCTTTTGAGCAACAATCACAGCACAGCCAGTTAGTGTCATTTTTAAGCTACTAAATCAACCTCAGGCCCTTCTGGTGTTAGGGAGCAACTCACTGGCAGGTGAGAAGCAGCAGCACTTATCACAGCACAGGAGAGTGTATCCCATTAAATTAGCACATACTGCTTGCATGGTGCACCATTGTAATTTTAAAAATGCTGGGTTTTCTTAGTTACTTATATAAGTGGGCAACCAGAAGGACTGTTATCTGAGAGCATCAGCTGCATGGCTGTGAACCCTGCAACTGATAAGGGACAACTCCAGGACTGGGGGAGATACAACATGGCATGAAGAAATCTCTTTGGGAAATCTTAAGACACAAGCAGCTTGTCATTTTTAAAGTACACATGAATAGGTCCAAGTTCTGCAGGCTTTTAAATGCATTGTTGTTTTACATTTTATTTACTTTTACATATACAATAAATGTATTCAGTAACATGAGCAACATTCTGCTGCTTATAAATCAGTGAAGTGCAGATGCCTGTTGTATCAGTTTGTTGCCTAATCTGTGCTACTGTACCTTATAGGAAAGCATGTTACAAACAAGCCCAAGCCTTTTTCAGCTGCATTTACCTCCCTATGCCAGAAAGGCTCCTTCTGAAAAGGAACTTGCAGTGTTGTGGTAACCTTTTTGGGCAACCAAACTGCTCATCCTGAACACCCAGAACTTCTGTTAAAAATGTCAATGCCTCTTTCTAATTTTTTTTTTATACTTGCAGGAGGTAAAAATACAATCATCATACTGTTGCTTTTGATTAAAGGATGAATTCCTCTACAAAAATGCCTATAGGAAATGAAGCACTGACACTGTCAAAAATAATCATTCTCCCTTGCACTCCATGGGAGAGAAGCTTGAATAATTTTAGAGACTTTAGGGGGTGGAGATTCATAACTTTCAATGGTGTTTCTGGGTATCTGGGTACAGCTCACAAGGACTCACTGCAGTGCTCTTGTGCTAATACCAGAGGAGCATGCTTTCCCAAGGAGCTGAAGATCAGATGCTACTGGAGAGCATGAGGGGGGTGGTGGATTCTCTTTGTGAAAGTCGTGCTGCAGCTTGCTGTACCTGAAACTGCTCCAGTGATGTTTTCACTGTTTATCTATAAGGCAAGGCATTAGTGTTTTATTTCCTTCAGAAACTCTCTCTCCTACTGTGCCCCATTTGGGGGGTTTAAGCCTAGAATACACGACACACATAGAACTAGATTCCAGTAACAGGATAGCTATTAAACAGTTTATGAACTAAAACCAAAGCAGACCACTTTCTCTCTGTCTACAGATCTTGCACCTGTGAAGAGGGAGAGCCATCAACCTCGCAGGCAGACATATCAGACAGCCAGAGGCAATCCAAGCACTGCTCTCAAGGTGAGACACCTTTACCACAGATTCAGTAAACACAACTTGGTAAGTCCCTGCCTCTCCAGGCCTATTAAGATAATGAGAACAACTCATATCTTACCAAATTCACAAGACCTGCGCCAATCTTTCAAACTATTCCAAATGCCCAACACTTCTCACCCAGAACCAAAAAGCACTTCCAGCACTTTTTTTAATGTGTCCACGGCTTACTGTTACACATGAGCTGTTAATCTGAAGAAATCTTACAGTCAGAAAGCATGCTGAGATGCATCAAATGAAACAACACTATTTATATGCTGTTTTAGTGCAAGTCTGATTGCTGGATGCTCACAGCTAATGAGAATTTTATGCATCTTTTAAACAAAAGTAAAACATGTTAAAGATCTAAGGAAATTAGCCAGCTATGTTACTATTTAACTTTCCTACAGATCAGTGTTCCAGTTACCTTTCCTTTATTTAAGATTGTATCACTCAGCGTTCCAAGCTTATAAATTCATTTCTTAAAAACCAACAGAAGTGTTTCTCAGGCTGGGAACCTCTTTGAAAACATTCTTTACCAAGGGACTGCAGCTCTGACTGACAGGCACATAAACGTGAAGGCAACACTTCTTATCTAACTGTTAAGCAACACTCTAAGAGAAAGCATATAAAAATCACATTCAGTTCTTTACTTTTGCTTCAGAACCAAGCGGTGACTCTAAACTGTCACTCAAAAGACAGTTCAACCTACATGCAAACATCACATTGCAAGCGTCAGTGTATTTTGAAGTTCACATAATCAACGTTTCACAAAGGCAGTGACCAACTACATAAAACAAACTGCATACATTTCTCTATGTACATCAACCACTAATGACTACCCCTACAGCATGCAGACAAAATATCAAGCGTTCCCTTTGCTTGTTCAACCCGCTGCACACGATTGTTGTCTAATAGTCACCAGCTGTAAACACGAACTTTCCCATTTATTAGCCTGAGCACATTAATCTCCTACCACTGCCCACGATTTAAGAAGCTGTTACATACCTGCAGTTAGGAGGAGGATCAAGAGTTATTTCAGCTAGCTCCTTCTGGATTCTGTTGGTGAAACGAGAACAGACACAAAGCATTTGAGATAGTCTATAGAATAAATCAGGGAATTACACTGCCCTCTACCACCATGCAGTTAAATGCAAGATTGGCTTTGCCTTCAGTAATGCTAACATGGCTGCTTCCTCTTTGTTCTCAGAGGTATAACCCAAATCCCACAGCTGAGAAACTTTGCAGCTTTTTTTCCTGCTTGATCCTGTGTATAAACAGAACACTCACAGCCGAGTTCGGTAGGAATCTCCCACAAGTACCCAGAACAGCAACTCTTTTTCATATCCGAGCACATCTTGCCGGAGAGATTTTCTTTTCAAGCTAATATGCAAATGAGCCGGGGGGAGGGGGGCCGTACAAGCACATTTGACAATGACTTTAAACCAGCGCTACAGAGCTGTGATCGAGGCTGAAGAAGCGAGCCGTGCTGTCAGCAAATGTATTCTTTTGGCAATATTCTACCTCCTGCTTTGCAGGGTGTTTAAAAAGTAGGTTTGCAGATCTGCCTGGCTGCCTCTGACACTGGAATCATCTCTGCATCAACTTTGCTCCTCTCAACACCTTCTGCTGCCTTTCCTCCCCCAGCTTTACAAGAGCTATATTTACGTGATAAAAAGCAACATAATAACCTGAAATAATCTTTAGCTTAGATTGACATTGTAACAACCACTCCGAAGATGTTACAGTCCAGAAAAGCAACACTGAAAACTTCGTGTTAATCTTACTATTTATCCATGTCCATAGGAGGTGTAACTTTAAATGATTCAAGGCAATTTCCTCTATAAAATGTCAAAACAAAAAAACCTCCACAAGAAAAGCCACTCGAGCAAGACTGCTTTTCCACGTGTACAGCAAGTGTTAAAGTATGAACTAACAGTGACTGCCCTGAAAGCCCTTGCACCATTTCCATTACGTCCAACCACACTACTGAACCACTGGAGATGTACGGAACTGGACTCGCAATGATTAACCAAAACAAAGCTAAGTGGAGAAAACTCAGTTGTGAGACTCTACGTGATGCACCTCAGGCATTTAAAAAACAAAAAAAAAACAAAAAAAAAAAAAAAAAGAAGCCCAAAATCTAGCAATAAATTACAAAGTCCACAGTGTTCCCAGAACTTTTCCTTCTGCAGCCAACTCCTCTTCCAAAGGGTTTCTTTAACAAACTCAAAAGTCATCAGTCACCCTGTCACATTCTACAGTAATTCTAAGACATTGCAAAATGTATTTACTGAGTTTAAGTACAGTGCAAAATTACTAAAAACATTGCTCAAAGTTTGAGCTACTGTATTTGGGCTGGATAAGCAAAACTGAAAGCTACTGTGGCTATTGCACAGCTCCTCTTGCTATAGCGTATTTGTAAATGTTTGTAAAGAAAGGGAACTCCAGGGAAAAGCCAGAAAGTTGTGTTTCATCTCAGAAGGCAACTGGGATTGAGGGAATTAAAGTTTGCTTTATTTCACACAGCTGAACTTACAGAAAATAATTAGTACACGTCTCGAGAGCTGGACTGCCAGTAACCTTATGTGTAAATAAAAATGCAGCAGATAAAGCCTGACAAGGTTTCTTGAGATTTTGATACTTAGAGGCTACACCTGAAGAACCTTATGGTTGGAATCCACAGATCCTGTGAGAGAAGATTTGCCTGACTTTCTCCAGAAAGCACTGCAGGACAGAACTGTGACTTTAAGGTGCACAAGGCTCTACTGCAATCATAAGGCCTGCAAAAGCCATGGGGCTTGTGTGACTTCTGTAATTAAAGAGCACTGCTTGACATCACCCTACAGCCTGCATTGAAATACACCAGGAAGATCCACCCTACACGAACAAGGGACGTAAACCTGTCTCAGCAAACCAGACACCTGAAGCTGACGCTTTCTCGCTCATTTCTACAAACATGAGAGGCACGCAGGTGCCCCCTGACCGGCCTGTGAGTTACCAAGTTCTCCAACAACTCGAAAGAAACATGGCCAGCCTGCTTATTACTGCCCCAGAGGACTTGAACTCATGAAGGTCCTTCCCAGCAGACTTGCATGCTACAGAAGTTTGTACTGTACTATTTCTTATGTGGCTTTAAAGCAATCTCTCTGCCTTTGGAAGTGCAGTGCAACACTGCGAGTCCATACACCGTGCAAAACCGCTACAGGACGCTGGATGCCACAAGTACCTTTTAGCACTAGTAGATAGCTTAGCAGTAGTTTTGCTGGAGAGTTTGGTGTTCTTCTTCTGTTGGGTGGCAGAGGGTTTCCTTTCCTCCTGCTCCTCAGGTTCAGGTGCTGGGGGATCCCTCTGGTCGGCATCTGAGCTGCCGCTGCTGGTACTGGGGCTCTCATCGTCTGACCTCTGCCTGTCACTGGACATCGTGGGGAACTTGTAGGGAAGGAGGAGAAGAGGCAGTTACTACAGCTCGCAGGTCACCCCCTCACTGTCCGGAGCTCTGAAGAATACTTTGGTTGATGACAACTCTATTTCATGGACAAACCCACCAGGATCCTCTTCTTTGTCTCATTCGCCAGGGCTGCAACTTGACAGCTACACCACAACATTCACACTTTGGAAAACACCGGCATTTCCCATTTTTAAACCCACTTGCATTTTTGTCATGCTTCAAACAATATGCCAATTGTCGGCTTGGTTCTGAGGCACAAACAGATTGAGCAGGGCACTTAAGAAACGCGCATTAATAACTTATGACACATTGTAAATAACAGACCTCCCCGGGAATGTTTTTTAAGGAGTCACCGATACCCTGTAAATATTTACACTGGAACGGAGCATTTTATTGGGTCCAAACGCCAGATCCCCCCTCAATCCCTCTCTCGGAGGAGCTCCATTGCCAATGAGACTCGGGCAGCTCTCAGACCGAAGCGTACACTTGCTCTGTGCATTTAAAGGGCTGGGCAGTGGGGGGGAGGGGGGGAAGAGGGAGAACGCGGGTTGTTTTTTTTAAAGGAAAACCCCCGCGGAACCCGCATAAGATGCGTCGGGAGCAACTCGGGAAGCAGCAGCCCCACTGCCCGCCGGCAGAGCCGCATTGGGCCCCTGCAGGGCCGCCGGGGGGGAGGCAGCCCGCCGCCTCCCGCACCTTCCGCGTTGCCCCCTCGGCCTCCCCCCCCCCCGCTCCGACATGGTGGCGGCGGGGGGAGGGGGCTGCCCGGCGGTCGGGAGCCGCTGCGGGGCCGGGGGCGGCCGCGCTTTGTGGGGAGAGCCCGGCGCGGCGCGGCAGGCGGCGGCTCGGCCGGCCCCGCTCGGCTCGGCTCGGCCCCGCTCGGCGCCGCGCGTGTGTGCACCAAGTGAGGCGTGAACTCGGCCGGCCCCGCGCCCCCGGCCGCCGGCAGGCAGCGAGCGCCGAAAACAAGAACAAAGCTCCTCGGCGGCCCCCCCGCTCCTCCCCGCCTCCCCCCACCGCGCTCGCCCAGCCGCCGCCGCCGCCGCAGCCGCCTCGCCCGCCTCTCGCTTACCTTCGCCGGCGTCCTGTCCCGCTGCTGGGTCGGAGGGGCGGGATGGCGGGGGGCCGGGCCGGGCCCGCGGCGCCCGAGGAGGGGACGGAGGCGGCCGGGGGGCTCTACGGCGGCGGCGGCGGCTCTGTGGCCGGGCGGTGTGGAACATTGAGAGCCGGAGCAGGGGGGGACGGGGGGAGGCGCGGTGCGGCCCCGCGGCCGGCGGGTGGCGCTGGCGGGCCCCGCTCTGCGGCGCGGGCTCCCGCGGCGGGCCGGGGGACCCCAGCGGGGAGGGGAGCGCCCGCCGCTGGCCGCGAGGCGGGAGCAAGCGGGGGGGGGGGACAGACGGCCCCCGCCTGCTGCCGCTCTGCCGGCCTGCTGCCGGCAGGGCTGCCGAGAGCGGGGGAGGGGAGAGCAGAGGGGGCGCTCGCTCCCGCCTGGCGGCCAGCAGAGCGCGCCCCCCTCCGGGCTGGGGTGCGCGCAGGCGCTCTCCCGCCGCGGCCGAGGGCGCGCGTGCTCCGGGCCGGGCAAGGACAAAGCGGCGGCGCGCGCCGGGGGGAGCGGACGGCCCTCGACGGCGGCGCGGCGCGGCGTAGCACGGCACGGCACGGCACGGCACGATTCTGCCCGGCTCCTGCCCACCTTCTGACTGCAGGCACCGCCGCTGTCCTCAGCAGTCGGGTGCCCTCCGTCTGCTGTCCCGGCTGCACCTCGCCGCCCGCGGGGGCTGCCGGCTGTGGTTGGGCCCTTTCAACCGCACCGCCACAGTCGCCTCGCGCCCTGCGCACGCCTCTCGCCCCGTCCAGATGAAAATCAGAATTAGGAGTCGCTCCATAAGAATCTAGGTGCCGAGTTCTGACTTTCACAGAGGAAAGAGGGTAGTCTGTATCAGTGGCAATAGGTGCCACGGGAAGGCGATAGGAAGGAGGTCGAATTTCTTTCCCGTCCTGTCACAGCCGCGCCTGAGGAGCTGCTCGCACCGCCTGCTCAGTGTGCGCTGCAGTAAGAGGCGTCCACAAACTGGAGCGGTGTGAATATTCCAAAGTGATCCTGCAGCAATAAAACCCACCCGTAAAAGCAGCGTAACTGTTTGCGATAAGTACCTGTGCTGCGGATAAGTGGTGGCAGCAGGTGGGAAAGGAGTTAGGCTTGTTGAGCTCTGCTTTAGAAACGGACACACAGCCGCTGTCCAGCAGCCGGGCTTCACCTCAGCACCGTGCGCCTCGAGGGCTTTCCTCACCGACAGCCCGAAGGCTTCAAGCCCCCGTTTGCATAAGTTTAGCAAGACGGAGAGGCCACAGGGTGCGTACTGCACTCTGGAGGAGCTGAGCGGTGTCAGCGAGTTCGGTTTTCTCGGGAGCTGGGGTTACCTCAGCTGAACGGTAACGCTGAAGGTCGGGTGGATGAGCTGTGTGATGCGGTAGGGAGGAATACTGGATGTTTGTTTGTCAAAGTGGGCTGCAGAGAATTACCAGATCATCACTACAGGCGATTTGCCCCTGAGGTGTAGAAAATTCTTAGCATAAACAGTATCAGGCATGATGAGCAATTTGGGCATAATTAGTATAAAGAAGCGTGGCAATATCAAAAATGTATCAGTAAGCAGTAAAAGCATTTCTTTTCCCTATTGATGCTCAAAATGGGGGTTGCTGGTACTTTGAGAGTCAGGACTAAGTGTGCAACTTTTATTTTGTTTCAGATGAAAAGCTGCATGGATGTCCAAAAAAATGGTTAGCAGAGCATGCATCCACAGAATGAATGTAAGTAGATTGGTCAAGGGCTGCTCGCCACATCAATTGCTATGTGTTGTGGCTTCTGTGGCTTTTAGGAGACAAAATGAAAATAAAGCCCATTTAACAGAGGATAATTGAAAGCCAGTCCGGATTTCTTTCTTTTTTCTTTTTTTCTTTCTTTTTTTTTTGTTTTTCCTCCAGCCTTTTGTACCTTATTAAAACAGATCTACTACAGGAACTTGTGTTTATCTGAATGAATATTCATTTGTTTGACATCAAGGCTCAAAGGATGACACTTTCTTCTTACAGGGCTGTATTTTCCTAGGGTATGTTTGTTATCTTGTCAACTGTAGAAAAAGTAATGCACTGAGAGATGTAGCGTAGTTGGAAGCAGAGAAAGTGCTGATTTCAGGAACAAAGCTCCATATCACGATCTCTGTGACTTTTTGTATCCCTTGTGATTTGATGTTAGTGTAATTTTAACTGATACACCTATCAGTTAAAGGAAACTGTTTTTTTTTTTTTTTTTTTCTTCCGTTTTATTGAGTACTTAAACTGTGAAAGTTCAAACAGTAGGGTGAAGTGCAGAACCTTCCTGAGCTTTCCTAACCTTTCGTACATTCAGACTTGTTTGGATGGTCCTGGGCATGGGAAATGGGTGAGGACTGCATTTTTTCTACTTTTTTTCTCCCCACTGAGATGCCCTTTATTTATATATGCATATATATTTTTTCTATAACACAAGCATTGGTGGTTTCTTAAGAGGCCCTGTATCTCTTAGATATGTCTTGATCCCCCTATTCTATCAGAGCACAGGTGTGAAGCTGCTGTTGGCATGCAGAGTTTTAACAGCTCAAATGCACAGGCATTTGAGAATATCTTACTGGATTTAGGAAGAATTCACAATTCAGTCTTCTCTGTCTGATGCAAAATGCTGTGATAGCAAACAACTCAATGCCTGGCACCAGAACTAGGGTGAAGGCATTTTCTGCTTCTCACAAGTAAACTATGAGGGATGAGAAAATCATTGCTTGATCTCCTTGCCCCTACCATTTTAAAGGTGTACAGATGGTAAAATAAAGCCAGTGTACATTTTTTGTGATTAAGAGCAGATCAATTGAAAATACTACTTAATGTTTGCAGTTATATACTCCATCTTCTTTATCACAAAATCATTGCTTCCTGACAGTAAATATATCTCCAACTAAGCAATGCATCTTTCTATCCTGTGTGTGTTCCCATACTGGGCTGTGTTAAAGTACATGTTGGAGCTCTACTGTGGTGCTACAGCTGAACGTGCACAAACTGTGGAGCATGGAAACAAAATAAGTATTTATTTATTTTTTTAAAAGTCTATGTAATGTGTCAAAATTTGGATTGTGTTTTTGCTGTCAATTACTTCCATAGTAACAACTGTTGACCCTTCTGTGATAGAACTCTTGTGATAACCAGTCCATGTTTTCCCCAAATAATTTACAATTTTACCATGTAGAGCTAGTAAAAAAGGTTATAATGAAGTAAAATCTTGTGCCAGGAAGAGATGTAACAACTTTCAGAATGAAGTGCAGGAAGCCTGTTACAAAGTCAGTAATTACAGCTCATCCTGTCGTGCCTTAAAATTAAAATCACTACAATAAATAGGATTATTTTATGTTGTGATGCTATTTATTTGGGTTTATTTGGGTTTGTGAATGAAAAATAAGCCCCTAAAGAACAATCTTCTTAGTATGTTTCAATTCTTTTGGATCCTCAAGAATCTAAAAAAAAAAAAAAAAAAAAGCAGAGGTAAAGTAAGCATGGCAGCAGGCAGGATCCAACTGTTAGGAACCACTTCTCTGTCTCTTTGTCAGCCTGTGTTTAGCCCATCTGTTGGCTTTGCATTGCCATCTTCTGAATCGTGGCACAAGAATGTGGTGGAGGAAGGATGGAAAAGGAGGGGGTGGGAGGGAGAGTGGAAAAAATGAAGGCAAAAGCCAGAACCCTGCTGTGCTTCAGTTGTTCCTCTTTGAAGAATGGCTTTTTGGAAGCACTCTTGTAGTTCAACAGTAGTCTTGAGACTGCTGTAATGCAGACTGCCACAAGGCCTAGAATTCGGGACGCTTAAAGGAGTTTTCAGAGTATGTTTTCTTTTTCTGAGTTCTTACATGCTTGAATAATGCCATGAGGAAAAGAGTGTGACCAACTGTATTTTAGCAGAGGAATTAGGAGGTTACCTTTCTGCTCTACTTAAATCCATAGAAAATCTTGATGTTAGTTAATCTTTATCATAACCCACTGAATAGCTAGCAAGTTCTCTTTTATGTTATGCACTGCAGTTGGCAAACATTTTTTACACACAAAGTGGTCAGCTGGGTACTAGGTTTTAATAAGTAGATTAGCATTAAGCATTAAAAAACATATCAGGTAAATGTGTGTTTTGAAGCACAAATGTCTTGATTTTAGTGTTCCCATGGAGTCCTTGTATTCTGTTGTGTAAATTCTCTCTTTGTGTGTGGACTATTGATGCAAGAAAATGCCATAATGGCCCCTTTGGAGTTTCTGAAACAATTTGTATTAATCCAGTGTCTGTGCATGTCAAATGATAATAAGTACCTTAAAAAAATCCATACTTTTTATTCTTGCCAGCAACTCGTATTAAAACATTTTCAGCCTATGGAGTTATTGTTTTACTTGGAAAGCTGTGAGTAAATGGAAAAAGGTTAAAAAGGGAAAGAAAATTCAGGTGGGATTAGTGTATGAACTGGACAATAATAATTTGCACTTCAGAAGGGTGTTTTTGTCTTTGTAAATAGATATCATTTCAGTGAGCAATTGTCTGCAAACAGTATCATGAAATGATTCTTATTCCCTTGAAATTTTGATTTTAAAAAGCCTTGGTGTACTTAAGCTGATAGTTTCAGCTTGCTTTAACACAGGTTCAGTTTTTAGTAGAGTATTGTGAGTTTTTGACTATAGTAGAGTAAGATGCAAATACTGTCAGACTTTTATGTGTAGCAAGTGTGTGAACAATACATCTACAAGCTACTTCATTAACTCCAGGAAACTATTTTTGGGTGTATATTCAACTGAGTAATGTGTATATTGTAAGTTAGGGAGAACTGAGCTCTACAAATACAATCCTGGTCTCAAATAGCGTTGTTTGGGAATCTGTCCCTGTTCTGCACAAGGGCCATAGTAAAATGGTGCCATCATTTCAGTGTGTGATATTCTCTTGCAAAAGTTGTAGCTGTTGTAGCAAACAATGCTGAAGGCCTCATAAAGTTCTCATTTCCCCATTACAGAGATATTCCACCCCTAAACTATCTCAGATTAAATTATCTCTAAGTATATACACAAGCATAGATATTAGTG